GAAATGCTAAAAATAACATGAAATACAAAGTTCTAGGAATTTATACTGTATGACAAGCTTCATCATACATTTCATTGTGCAAAATATAAGTGTTTTAATGTGAACATAAAGTTTGAAAGTTGTAACTCATTTCTTCCAGGGCAGAACACTCACTATGGCCAAAGCAGGACTCTTACATACAGCATATAACATATCTCATGAACAAAAAGATTTTTTTTTTTTTTTTTTATCATAAGGGGGAAAAATCACCTAAATTAAAAGTAAACTGCTGTAATAACTTATTCTTTTAACAAGCCTAGTAACTTGCTAGGTTCCCAGGCTAATAACAAGTTTTGTGGCTAAACTAAATATCTGATGGTGCTCGCAGTGGTCCTCAGGTGGATTGTATATGTGCTCAGACACATGAAAAAGGCTGCAGGCGTGCCAATTGCAGGACATTTTCTTGAAATAAAACAAATTATAAGCTTCAAAATCCTAGGTCAGGGGTCTAATGTTCCTGCAGGATGAACTAAAACATACAACCATAGCTTTAATGGAATGCTTTAGATCAAAGTGGTTTTAGTCATGCAATGTCTAACTTGAAAACAGAATTTACAGCAAGGCCAAAAAAAATTGATTTTCACAGATTTTCTTTTTGCTGTCTAAGCTGGAGCAAATGATCTGCACATAGAGTCTCTCAATATCCACAGCTGGTAGACACATCTCTTAAAAGATTTCCAGCTGTATTGAAACACAGTGCTATGCTATCTCTCTTTTAACTTCATAAAAAAGAATGTGAAACCTTTTATAACTTTACCTCCACTTTGATATCATGTGCCACTTTGTATATAAAACGCCAATACCATGTTTTGAAGTGGTTTATAATTAATAATGAATATGAATCTAGCTGCAGAAAATATTTTTAGGAATGGTTTTCATTTATTAATTGTATTTATTTGAAATTAATATAATGAATTCATTTTTATGCAAAAGGTTTTAAAGGGATTGTATTTTGTTGAAGGACTGGGTTTTGCAAACTGCCCTCCCACATCACAAGTGATAAGAGAAGTTTTTGGTCTTGATTTGGTGGGGTATTTTCGACAAGCTGGTGTTGAAATAACTGGCTGTAAAACCTTTATTATTTACAGCAATTGTTCGTTTTTGATCATGATGCCCGGAATGTATTTAATTTTTCAGTTATTTTAAACTTTGCAAATGCTATTAATGCAGTTATGTCAGTTTAATTTGTAAATCTTGTCCTTAGTTTTCACAGTAGACATGGATGAAGATGGACTTACAGCTGTCAATAATCCCGTTTAATGGATCTGCTTGTGTCCATGTGATGCTTTGATGGAGTTACAATGAAGTAAAGGCAAAAAATCAAGTAGAATAGATTTAAGGCACTGTATTCACTGCCCTCAAAAACAAATTAGGCATTTTGGTTGACCAGTTTCCTAAAGAATGTAAGCTTTCAAAACTGAAATGGGAGATTAACAAATTTTTGGCTGTAACCTTGTTTTCCAGTCACACTTCATTTAGATACTGAATATATCACACCCATGTCACAGATAAGATTAACAATCTGGTGCTAAATACAACTTTATCTGTATTTGTTTAAGCACAAGGTAATTGGTTAAAGCATGAGTGGAATGCATTTCATATTTTTATTGAATCTTTATTTCTAGTTTATAAAAGATGACAGAAAAAAAATACAAAGGTCATAAAATCATAACATTAACACAATTGTTAAAGATGCTTTACTGCTTCAATGCACACATATGACTCTTATAAATAACAACAAAATACCTAATGGAACAATTACAAATAATCCTGGTGAGTGTTGAAATTTCTACATGAGAAATCTTTCTAAGATTTCCATCCTAAATATGAAGAGTAAGGTCTTTTAAAGACTGTTGGGGACAGTGCTATGTTATCTCAGGTTATTCAATACCTGCTTGGAAAGATTAAAAGAAAAGTTCACCATCAGTACGAAAGAAAAAAAATCTTCACATGCCAACTTTACAGAAAATGTTGATTATAACAAAAGAGAAAAAAAATGAAATCATGTAAAAAAAAAAAAATTAAAAACTTTGCAGTCTGTGAGGTTCACTGTCTGAGCAGTGAATTTAGTTAGGAGCATCATGCACTAAAGAAACACAAGGGGGCACTATAGGGAAGTGTACCAGCCACAATGACACAAGATTTCAAGGTTCTCAGATGGAGGTATTCAAAGGAGCCAATTTTCTGATCTCATAACATCCCGAAAACCTCAAAAAATGTTAAAAGACAAAAAAATAACAATAATCTTAATTATATTCAATATGCATGTTAAAAAATACAATAATGTTGAATGTAAGCACACAAAATGTCAGAGGAGGTACTTTTAGTTTCAAAGTCAAAGATAAACTGTAGAGATGAAATCTTCCTGAGAATGGCTGTTTGTTCCACATCAGCTGTAGATTGGAGATGTTCATGACATTTCAATATGTCAATAGTTTGGGCCTTTGCTGAATGAACTCCTTCTCATCATGCTAGCGTAGCACAGTGATGGGTCACATACCCCGGGCTGGCCCGGAACGCCAGGATTACCTGGTTTACCCTCTGCTCCATTTTGACCAGGAAGCCCAGGCTTACCAGGAGGGCCTGTTTTGCTGTACCCTTGGGGACCAATGGGCCCTGTCAAGACAAATACGATGAACCATGTCAGCTGTTTGATGAAACAAGAGTTTAATGCAAATGGCAATCAGAGCAACAATGTGATCAGAAACAGCGAAGAAATTCCAACATTTGAATTAAATGCCTTCAAAATTGTACTCTTTTGATTTGCCTAGAGCACTTTTTTTTTACATTCTGTAAATTAATTTTGATTTCAGACATGGAAATTAATACACACCAGATTAAAATCTTTCGACTGTCAAGTACAATATTTGTAGTTCAAAACCAAATTTTAAGTTGAGCTTCAAAATTAAACAAGAAGCAGAAGAAGGATAGATAAGCAAAAAGGGTTTTATTGAAAATCATGTGTCAATTAACCCAGTCTGTTGAACAGCTGATGAGAAGTTTCAAACCAAAATCTCCCAAAGAAAGTTAAAACTGTCAAAATCAGACTACTGCTCAGTACTGTCACTCTTGCTAATCGGATGTTGATTGCTTTGAAATTTTGCTTAGCAATGCCTGTGAGTGTTTCCTGTTGGCTAATTGAGATGTTGCTTCATTCCGTCGAGATGGCTGAAGGGCAATCTTTTTCTAAACCTACCTCTAAATCTGCCCCAAACATTATAGGTATGATTAAGGTTAATACATATCTAATTTTTGTTTTTCTATTTCATATTTCCTGTTTTTTAAATAAAAAAAATGTACTTATAATCTGGCTATGAGCAAAACAGATGAAATTTAGTTCCTGAGCTTTGCTCAGTAGTGCATAACAATCTTAAACTATAACCCCAACAGAGTTGAGCAATAGTTCTAATAATAATCATACATACCCTTAAGATGTCAATTCATTGTGAAAAGACCTAAATAATTTCAGTGATGTTCTTTCAGTGAAGATAATTATGTGTTTTAAAGAATGAAAAGCAACATTTTCTTACCTGGAGGCCCAGGAGGTCCCTGGTCTCCAACCATTACTTGACCAGGGTTCCCCTTCTCACCTTTGTAACCCGGTTCTCCTACAAGCACAATTATTCCTTTGAAACAATTGGGAAACAAATGTTCTACTATTTTAATGTAATTCTGCTCTTACCTTTGAGCCCGATAATCCCAGGACGCCCTGGACGACCTGGGTGTCCTCTGGAACCACTAAGCCCTGGAAGACCTCGAAGACCCTGGGGACCAGCTGGACCTTGTGGACCAGGAGATCCAGGTTGACCTTGACATCTTGAACAGCTACTCTGCTGGTTGCTTAGCATTAATAAAGGCAGCTCACCTATGACCAGTGATAATAAAGAGGTTACAAAGGGTGCAGTTGTGTAGAAACATCTCTTTGATAAGTCTCTAAGGCTACTCACTTCTCAGAATGTCTCTGCAGATTTGCCGGATGTGACTATCTGACATTGCACTTGTCTGTAGGGGATAAGTGTAACTTGTTAGTCATCCCTGCATGTCAGAAATAATGACTGAACAGCTTTCTGTTTTCATTAAGTGACAAACTTACAGATCTGCCTTCAGGTCCAGGTGGTCCAGGTGGGCCTGTGTCCCCTCGGATCCCTTGTGGACCAGTTGGGCCAGACCGACCTGGTTGTCCAGGCCGCCCAGTTTGACCTTCTGGTCCTCTCTGTCCTGGATCCCCTGCTATCCCTTTCTGGCAAGAATACCTCCCTTATGTTAGAAATGTATGTACCTAAACAAGCTGCACTGATGTATACTAATCCCATTATGTTCCTCTCAACATACCTCTCCCTTCAATCCCATTGGACCAGGTGACCCCTGATAAACAGAATAAATCATCAAAGACATTAGAAAGTTAAGAGAACTCATGTCTGATTTAAAACTAGTGTATCAACACATCAAAATGCACATCAATCTATTTTATTAATTGCAATGAGTCAAAATAAAAAATCATTTGTAACTATATAGAAAAAAGAAATCCCTTTATTGTCCCACAATGAGGAAATTCTGGTGTTACAGCAGCAAAAAGATTACATCAAAAGTCCCATGAAGGAACAAAGCACATATACTAAAGTCAGCATAAATATTTTATTGAAAATGCAATTGAATAATGTGAAAAAAAAAGCGTATGATGTTCTGACACTTATCAAATGGTTACACAAGGTTTATTGTTCTTTTTTTTTCCTGTCTGACAATGAGCCAGATTTCACCTTTTGTCTTTTAGATCAAGAAGAAAATATTTCAATCTGCAACTTGGCAGAATAATTAGAATATATTTGTTTTTTAGAAGATAAACTACACTTAGAGCCTGATCTTCAGGGGGTTTTTGTTGTTTCAAAACAGGTTCAGAAATGTTTGTGCAGGCAGAGCAGATCTTAAAAGAGTGTGTAAATGGATTTGCGTTCGCAATTCAGCAGACAGCATGCGCAAAATGTTTGCCCCATTTTTGTTTTCGCCAATATGCAGATCTTATTTTATTGACCAAGCGGCGCAAGTTCATTGGTGAAGGATATGCAGATGTTAACATTTACCACAAAGCAATTGTTTGAATCGGAAACTCAACTGCATCACCAACTTCTTCACCTTTTTAGTGTTCTGAAAGAAATTTGCAAATTCACGCAAAAGCGTCTGCGGTCATTGTTGCCACAAAGTAGGCCTTGGTACAATGCCAGTGAAATGGAATGATGTACTATACCTATGGAAACATAGTTTGAACTTTAAAGGAAACAAGTTGAATTTCATTTAAAAGGAGAAAAAAAACGTCTATACAGAATAATACACATTAATGTAGCAGGATAGTAGAAAATCTTTATACAGCTAAATCAAATGCAGAAAAAAAGCCAGAGCTTTAATGTTTTGGTATGTTTATAAAAATAAGGTGATAATGCTGATATTCCTAAAATAGGACATGTTTGATTTATGATGACAGAAAGAGAAGAATGTATATTTTTTTTCTGTAAATATTTTTGTCACATTTTTGTCAAGTACATACTTTTTAATAGCATGTGGTGAAATATGTTTTTTGAAAGAAATGTAGCTTTTGACCAAAGTTCTAAAAATGTTAGTAAGATCTTATAAAAAATAATAATAATATGAGATTCAGCTTTCATTATTATCTAATCAGTAAAAAAATCTGTGAAATCCACAAAATTAAACGATATTAATAATGATATTGAAGATAAACTCACTGGAACTCCTGGTTGTCCATGTTCTCCTTGATCACCTTTTATCCCCTGTTGAGATGAGATATTTAAAGTGTATGTTAGAATGAAATAAACTTTCCCCAAAAGGCAGTTAGAGTAATTCAAATATACAAAATGCAGTATGCCGAGTAAGTTCAGTTAAAAGAAACTATATATCAATCATGTAAAGAACAAATTTAAGTTTTGTTATCCATAGAGCTGTAAAATTCTTGCCATACTGTAGATGTTGGCTGTTGTGTGAAACTAAAAATCTGCATTGTTTCCAGTCAAAAAAAAATAGTTAGCTCATTTAGGAGCTTGTGGTGATGTAAAGCATTCCTACAGAGCTGTGCAGCTCATTCGTAAATCATACCATTGCTCCCGTTTCACCTGTACTTCCCCTTTCTCCCTAAAGAAAGTAAGCACACACAAAAAAAACCAAAAAGAACATGAAAAAATTAGTACTTTGGCAAATTCTAGTTCTCCCACAATGCATACATGTTTGATCGCATTGTGTCAATATCCACAAAGCATGGTGATTGGATGGGGTAATGTGAGGAAGCTACTTTTTAATCTTGTTTGTTTGATTATAAGCTAGCCAACGATCTGACTGGACAGCTAGATTAGAATGAGATGGATGGGTGGATGGATGGATG